TTCACTCTCGGCCTGCTCTTCGCCGAAGTATTCCTCATCATCGCCATCAGGCGGTGGTGGACCATGCCGGACACGGTGCTGTGGATCATGTCGTAGGCGGTGTCCAGCGGAAAGACCTGTGGTACAGAGGGACCTCTTGGTTCGGGTCGTTGGGATACTCCGGAACGCCGTTGGTGTCCAGGACCATTCGAAGATGTAATCCATGGTGAAGTCGTCACAGGGTTGGCGTATTGTTGGGCTCGTGGAGCCTGGAAGGTCGAAGGGTGGCCAAAGTACCATCCTCCAGGACCAGGAGCATTGAAGCGCTGGCGCGTGTCAGCCTCGCCGCACTCCAAGCAAATCCATTGTCCCCGCTGAAGTCGAAAAGCGTCGCTACCACATATGCGGCATGTCCATGTCGACTCGGTGGACTCGCCGATGTCATAGCTGAGCGATTCATCCTCCGGGAATTCGGACTGATCGTCATCGTGCTCATGTAGTGCATCTTGTCGAGACGTCAGCCGTGGTCTCCGAGGATTGGCGAGTCCTCAAAAGCCCCAGGGTCATCTGACCATCCAGCAGCGGCTCGCGCGAAGGCCATGGAACGAGGTGGGGAAGCGAATCCGATGCCCACTTTGGGCTCCGCTACCAACTCGCTGCAGCATTTGCAAACACACTGCAGGGCTTTTCTCGCAAAAAGCGAGGTCTTGGCTCTGGTGCACCTGCGGGTGAAAGGTCTCATGAGGGTGGATCAAAATGCTCAGCATTGTCAATATCTCCTCCCCGACGCTGCCCAAATAGACTCAAGCAAGGCAGCCCTTCCAAAGCCACCTTTCGCGACGAGCTGGGTATTGCTATTTATGGCTCCTGCAGCACTTGGTGGCGATGCTCTTCTATTGCTATCTCAGACCTGGTGGGAAGAGACGGCAACATGTTCAAGAGATCGTGAAAGGCACCAACAGGCAACTTCCCTCTGCACACTGCCTCAAGTTGACAGGGCCATTTTCCTCCTTGGATATCGGCCAGAACAAGCTAATCACGAAGGTCTTACAACACTGACAATATCTGACATTTTCTGACGACTATCCATAAAGTAAGGCTAATCTTGGCATCTGACAGGGCCGCTTTGAGATTTAGCTTCCTGCCTCAAGGTGTGCACGAGGGAGGGAGCACATGCCACAGTGCAAAACAAATATACCGCATTCTTATACAAGTTGTTCCACACGTCTCAGGCCTGAGTTTCTCCAAACAAGCGCAAACCCGATCCACAGTGAAGTCCTTCAAAAAAAAAGTGTGTTCACAGCATGTCTATCAAACAATGCAGTGATGAAGCTTCTGGATCACTTATGATATAGGTACGTTTGTCTTGCGTCATCTCAAACGATGTGACTCTAGTAGACTTTCATGCTGCTTAAGACACTTAGGTTCCCAAAGAGCAGTCCTCCACTGAGCTAACACCTCCTTGCCGCATTGACACCAGCTTTTGGACCTCGCAGCTGCAGTCGCTCGGCTGGGCGACAAGTACAGTCTCTGAACAAACAAAAACATCCATGCACGGTATTTCAGCAATCTTCTAGCCACGTTCCCCCAAAATTCAGTACGACTTCTTTATCTTCTTTTGTGGCCGCCTCTGCATCTGCTTTGTGCCATAGAGATGCTAGCGTATCCTCATCACCTTGACCGAACCAGCCACATTTGCGAAAGTGAAAGACCACACATGCGCATGGCTAAGGCTGCGGCCAGCCATGCCAGGCTTCGACTAAACCGTTTTTGCTTGTGATCGCGTGTCCAGCCAGCACCAAAATGTGCTTTCTCTTTCCGTGTGGTTTGAGGTGGTTTGGTGTCACCACGAGTAGCCTCACAGCTAGGTTGTTAGTTGTTATACAATAGAAGGTGAGTTAAGCGAAACCGCTTTTGGTCTTCAGGTTTCAGGCACATCATTGCGTATTTCTCACTTGGACATCATGTTGCACAGCAGGAACCTGTGCACCGAAGGAAGTGCGGGCTGACAGGACTGCAGGCCATGGCTTTCCTGTTGCACAACGGCCACGAGTGACTCGAAGTCAGGAAGTCAAATTTAACATGTGTAGAATCACCCTAGATAGAAGAGCATGGGTCTGAAAGGCAAGTGGATCGTCGTACTTGCACAGGAACCTAATGGGCAGCGACAGCTTTTCCGAATGCGTAAGCAAGTCAGCTCCGTCAAATGCAGCGTTTTGGATTAGCAATAAATAAACTAACCAAATGCTATTTCTGTTCTCGGCATGAAGCCTGCATATACTGGGGTCCTCATGCTGTCCAGCCATTGACTTCGTCACGGCAATCGAATTGCAAAAAAAGCAGCGTCTACGCTTCATATACCTTCATATCCTCATCCAGGAATGCTATAATCTAGTGCTATCTAGTGCTGAACCGCCGCTTTGTCTGCTTCAGCACAAACGAGTCCAAGTCTTTGCCCCGGAATCTGCCAATGGAGTCAGGGCGCACCAACATGCACATTGACTCCTCTTTGCTTCATCGGTTCTCACGTTGACCTTGTGGACATTGACGCCCTGGGCCGGTTGGAAAAAAGGTACATCAGAGACCAAACGTTAAAAAAAGGACACATGGCTTTTTGGAGGTGTCCGGTTGTCGCGGCGTCTTGCTATGTGCCATCCTCACCAATGCTCTGAGTATTTACATGTAAAAATCGTAAACATATATCTTTACCACCTCACCCATGTTTTGCAAACGTCACTGGGTCTGCCACGTGAAATAGAACGCCAGGTCAACTTCCAAGCGGTTGGAGCCTGGTCACCAGGACGGCTCGGACGGCTCCAAATCATGGGTGTCCAACGATGCTTCTGGACCGTGTCACACCGTGTGTTGTTGGTTGCTAGATGTTGCTAGTCGTTCAAGAATTAGATGTTGCTAGATGTTGCTAGTAATTACAATTCTAATTAAATTCTTATTGTTACTACTAGTAAGGCACTTAGTAGCGATGCCCTTTGTTCCTAGTAGCTCCCTCTGCCCCCCCTGGAGACTTCGCACGGAAAAAGGTTTCGCAGGAGACTTTCGCATGTCAATGGGACATCAGCTGACCGTTGCGCACGGCCCTCTCGTGACAAGGCCGTCTCCCTGAGAAGCCCATTTCCCTGTTGTTTGCTTCCCACGCAGGGTACGCAGTAGGGCACTGACCGCAGTTTCCAGCTCCTTTATTCACCTCAGTGGGGTTTGTTCTGAGACGTCCACTGCGTGGCTGATGTTGCAGCCAAGGCGCTGAGAGCGCACCTTCCACCTGATTCCGATCAAGTCAAGTTGCATAATTACGTAACGGAATTTTACCTACTGTACATCTTTTTGCACATGATACGCACAAAAACCGGACGCATACACGCTCTGCGATGCAAAAGGAATCCTAGAGTTGAGCTGGTGTGCCGGTTGCATGAATCAAGTGGAGCGTTTTGTCGTAGTGCTGAGGCATGGACGTACGGCCCTGTAACAATTGGAGGTCATAGTAGCTTCTTGTTACTAGTAGCGATGCCAGGAGCCCCTAGTAGCGTCCTTGCTCCTAGTAGTAAGGCCAGGAGCCCCTAGTATATAGCTTCTTGTTCCTAAATGTATACAAAAACATGATGTATAACCTGTGATACAGTGCCAAAACGATCAGCGAAGCATCTTCAGCAAGCACATCATTTCAAGCAATGTGTGCACTTACACGGCATGTGCGAAATGCACCGCACAAAAACTACGCAAAGTCGATGCCCATCATCAACAGCACTCTGCAACTGCTCAATGGACGACAATGCGCAAAAACAACATATAGCAGAACGCCAACCTCGTACAATCTCTTTCGCGCATGAAAGCGCCTGTGTTAAGTCACCCCGGCTTGCGGAAAGTTACCCGTTTTACTGTTAGAAGCGCTTTACAGGAGTAGGTGTTCGAAAACTGTAGTAGATCAAGGATGTAGATGATTTGGTGCATGGGCACAAGAACACAGGGTTTGTCAAAGTTTGTAGCTTTTGGGGGGGCCGACACCCAACGAGAATGCTTGGTTTAGTTTTGTGAGGATTCTAGATATCCCTACAAACAAGCTACACCATAGCGAATGCCGCCCGAATCCCAGGTACCCACCTAAACCCAGTTCCCAATATAGTATAAAAGAACGTGAGCAACTCCACAACTGCCACAGCATGTCAAAAAGGTGCTGGTTCTGCTCTTGGTTCGCCCAATAAAACTGTTGTTCTTGATGCCATTCATCCGCAAATGGTTTCGTATAAACCTGTGTGTCATGTGATATGGTGTTGAACCGATACTCCAGAGCTTGTCTTGCATCTTGCATCTCACCCACATGGAAATGCGGCATCCATACGACTTTACTACACAAGATCAAACAACTTGACACGACAATTCACCACACGTGTGTACAAATATAGACAAATGATAATATGGTGATATATTATATATACTTAATATACTTAATTATATTTAATTATACATGCTGCACTGGCTGCACAGGCTTTCTTGCCAAGGTCTGTCAAATGACTTTGTCATTTTGTGTCATGGTGTGTTCGAGTTTTACTAGCTACGTTTCAGTCATAATCTGTCTGCAGCCCTGGCCTTCAACTGATATGTCAAAGGTGTTTCGCCAACCTTCTGTTGCATGCCGGTGCCACCGTTGACCTGCATGGTCACCGCAAGTTTGTGGATTGCGCTGGATGTTTGTTCGCATGCAAGGTATTCATTGCATTTCAATGCATTTCATCCTTGTCACAGAAAACCAGCACCACTGCCTAATGACACAGTCAGCAGCTTCCCTCGCCTGGAAGTCTTCAACGACCAAAGTTCCATAAGGCGAGTTGGCCTCCAACAATCGCAGCACGTTTCGTTCCCTGCTGCCTTTTACGGGACCTCCATCACAGCAGCTTTCACTCACAAAATCACAGTCCAGCTGTGGCACCTTCTCAAACAAAATGACTGTGGACGCATCATGAGCTAAACTTATACCCTTGCCAAATCAAAACAGCGGCCACAATGCGCTGTATTTTTTCACGTTTGCATCTCACCTCTCGTCCGTCATACGACTCGTCCAATGGCCGCTCCGCTTCGCTCCTTTGGAGGTGCCACTTTGCGAAGCTTCGCTCCGGCACGGATATCTGCAAACATGGCCGCCTTGCCAACTCCTTCAGCTTTCATGGCTGGAGCCTTGGCAGGGGGAGCAGTGCCGCCAGCCTTCTTAGCTGGTGGAGGTGGTGGTGGGCCTTTGCCACCTTTGCCCTTTCCTTCCTTTCCTTTTCCCTTGTCCTTGCCTTTGCCCTTTGCCACCGGAGCTGGAGGTGGCTGTGCTTTTGGTTTCTCAGTCACCGGTGTCGGTACTGCAGCTGGCGCTGAAGTAGATGAAGTGGATGGTGCAGCTGGAGCTGGTGCCACTGTCACGGGTTGTTTGGGTGGTGGCGGTGGCTGTCGCTTCACCTTCGGCGCCGCAGGCGCCTCCCTTGGCTTGGCTGTGGAGGCACGCCGAGCCAGCTCGGCAGGGGCCACATCCCAAGCAGGGCGTTCAGTCTCACCACCCTCACTCCAAGTGATGTGCGCTACATGCCCCAAATCCGGCAACACATCAGGCAAATCAAAGGTGACTTCTGCCGTTGCAGGGCGTGGCCGGAAGCGTAAATCTTCCATGGCCCTCTCAGGCTCATCTTCTTCGAGATCCACCCCGACCTCTGGAGATGCAGTCTTTGGAGCTTCGGCAGACAAGACTCGTGGCTTTCGGAGTTCATCCTCAAGTTCTGCCAGGTTATCAACTTCATGTCGCACCCGGTATGGCTGCTCTGAGGAGTTCAACAGGAAGAGTTCAGAGACAGAGGATAAACGACCCTCCACGGGCAACAACCTCTCATTGCGTTTCTTCTTGAAGGGTGGATCTGGCGTCACCAAGTTGCAGTGATGCGTCACAGACCGTGACACCCTGGCCAGCTCCTCTGCTGAGCTGGTCGCAGAAGGAAGTGGAGCACCAAGCTCTTCTGGAAGATCTGCAGTCTGACGTACAGAAAGTAGAAGGCCTTCATCAATCACAAGCCGAGAAGCATGCAGTTCAGGCTTTCCACGGCCACTAAACGTTCGGGCACTTTGCACCTTGAGTGCAGCAGTGCTTCCCCGCGCACCCTCGATGCGTGCCACTGCAGCACCCAGGCGTTCTTCCAGGCCTAGAATCCGGGCATCAGCTTGGCTGCAAGCCGCATCAAGTCGATCAAAAATATCTTTCGATCGTTGATTCAGATTTTCCACTGAAGCAAGCAAACCATGCATCATCAAAGTTCTTCGGCGTACACATATTCAAACTTGGAGCCAACTGCGACAGCAATTCAACACATGAAACAAGGTGCAAGAAAACATCACTGGTCACGAGCTGGTCAAGGTAAGACAGGTTCTGAACCTCCACTTACCTGCTGCGGGGTCGTCAATTGGTGCAGCCTTCAGCTTGGCGTTGAGAGTTACTTGTGGCGACACCTGGAACAAGGAAAGCTCCCTTCCTATGGTCAAACACTTGAAGTCGTCACTCACATTTGCATAATCTTTGGTATGTGCCTCCAGGACTGCTCCACGTTTTCGTGTCTGTGCCTAGCGGGACGTGATGGAAGTGGACAGAAATATCTGAGGCTAAGTTAATGAGAGTCCCTTGGTCTTTTTTGTGTGATCCTGCCCCTGCAAGAGATCCTTACCACAACTTGAGGCCGAGGGTTGGCGACGAAAGCTAGTAGGGCGGGGGTGAAGCGGGTGACAGTCGGCCCACTATGCCACCTGGAAATACACACGTCCCAGAGACATCCAGAGAGGAGTTGAACCCGGGGGGGGGTTCCGAACATATGAAGTTTTCATGCGATTCGGCGCTCTCGAGGATTCCAGCCCCTCACTTGCTACAGCAAGCACAACTCCAGCTAGCTGGGGCTAGCTTTCGTGATAAGGGCGACAGCTAACAGTCACAATAGTGATAACACTGCTGCCAAGCAACTGCCACTGTTCCACCTGGCGGTGTGCCTCTGTCGCACATGCTGACGAAAGTAAGCAGACTACTCAACAAATGTATATCATTGGCAGCTGTGAGTGTAGGTCAAACAAGAAACTAATCATAATCAAACTAAAACATAATGTAAGAAAGGCGAAAAAAAAACGTCTGGAAAAAAGTCAGAGATTCTCATAGAATTCTATTGAAGTGCAAACCTCAAATCCATGTTGCCCACCTGCCCACGGATTGAACACAACCCAGGACACTTCCGGCATGTCCACCCAGAACTCCTACCATCCAAGTTCTTGAAGCAGTCCGAGAATTTAAAGAAGCGGGTCAGAAAAAAACATAAAGAACTTGTCTTACTGAATGTTCGATGTTGGGACTTAAAGCATTGCGACGACTGCTGCCCCAGCACCCAGTAGGACGTCTTAGCACTTCGCTTCGCCTCGTAGGGCTTGAAGGGCGCTAAGCCAGGTTCCATGGGAGGTGCTGGCCTCGGGTCCCACGACTCGCTCCGGTGCCGAGATGCTCGGCGAGCGAGCTCAGTTCGCGACGAGCAATTGGTCGTGAGCCGAACGCGGATCCGGGGAACCTGCAAGCTAAACCTTGGACAAGAAACAGAAGGTTGGCCATGGCTACTAGGTTGGAGGCCATGGCTAGTAAGGTGGAGGCCATCGCTATTAGGTTTGAGGCCATCGCTATTAGGTTTGAGGCCATCGCTATTAGGTTTGAGGCCATCGCTAGTAAGGTGAAGGCCATCGCTATTAGGTTGGAGGCCATGGCTATTAGGTTGGAGGCCATCGCCATTAGGTTTGAGGCCATCGCTAGTAAGGTGGAGGCCATGGCTATTAGGTTTGAGGCCATCGCCATTAGGTTGGAGGCCATCGCTAGTAAGGTGGAGGCCATCGCTATTGAAGGCCATGGCTGTTAGGTTTGAGGCCATCGCTAGTAAAGTGGAGGCCATCGCTAGTAAGGTGGAGGCCATCGCTATTAGGTTGGAGGCCATCGCTATTAGGTTTGAGGCCATCGTTAGTAAGGTGGAGGCCATCGCTATTGAAGGCCATGGCTATTAAGTTT